ATATATTATAATGTAAACATTGATTTATGTTAAATAGTAATATTATGTAAATATTAATTTCATAATAAGGTATCATACACATAAAAATAACTTCAGTGTTAAAAGCAAAAATTAAGATTTAAGACTCACAACTACCTGGCAAAAGAGCTTGATTCTGTCTTCTTTGTTTTATATGTTAATTCAATAAAGTTGCAGATTACAGCTTAGTTCTTCCGCTCTTATTAAGTATCATTTTCCACATTTTTTCCTATTCCAGAATCTAACCATCTACCTCAGACAACAAATATATTTCCAAGAAGGCAGTAACCAATTGGTATGGTACCAGAGCTCTCTGCTCTGGTTACCTGTGGAATCTGAGTCACATTACATAACATCTCAGGATTTCAGTTTTCTAACTCATGAATGTGTATAATAATACCTATCGCATAAGCTGTTATGTAAATTAAATTCAATAGTATACTCAAAGCATTTAGGAACTGAGCAGACTAAATTCAGTATTCAATAAAGGCCAGCTGTATATTCCTCCACTAGTATATTCCTTCCACTTATATGAATTTTCCTTGCAGCAAGACTCTCTTATTTCTATTAAAAATTTGAAATATTCTTGCAAACTACACATGCTCAATAAATATAGATAAAAAGATTAAAGAGTAAGGATCAATAACTATATAATTAAATAAAACATAATTATTATATCTATGGCAGGGCATACTCTTTAGGAGCATTTCTCTCTTATGTAAACTAATTTGTTTTTCAAATGCGTGTTTCTGGAGGATTTTAAAATGTGTGAAATAAAAATATAGATGAAGGAATACAAAATTAAAATCAAAATGCCTTACATACAAGAGTGGAACATTGAAAGTTAACTTGGAGCTATTTTAACCTGAGAAAAATAGATGTGTCATCTGTATTGGTTAGCTATTACTACTTCCATGCAACAATAATACTGTGTAACAAATCATCCCCAAATTCAGTTTCATATTATTTATTTATTTTCATTCTCGGGTGTCCACAAGTCCTCAGTGACTCACCTGATGTAAGCTAAATGAAGTGATTCTGTTTCAGAGCTGTGTATTACCTGACTCTGGTTTGAGTTCCAATCTGTCCTATGTATCTCTCATCCTTCTTTAGCTAGCAGCTACAGGAGCATCTTCTTGTGGCAAATGCCAGAATCACAAGAAATAAATCCTTTTATGCAGCACATGTAAGACTTTTGCTTGAATTGCATCCACCAGCATTTCCTTGTCCTATTCAGGTCACATGATCAAGGCCAACATCACTGAGGTATGTTTTCTGACCACAGCAGAGCACTGAAATTAATAATCCGGTTATAAGGAAATAAAGATTTGGGACCAAAATCCTATTTGCAAACAACTATGTTTGAATTGTCTGTGCTCTGTCTGTGTCTAGAAATCTTGAGTTCCTTGTAAGAAAAGCCACAGTATACCAGCAGGAAGTGCACACCAAATCACTTTCCCAGTAGCAGCTGGGTACTTAATCTGATTTACTTCTCTTTTCTCTTCCTATCTCCATAGGCAGTTCACAAAAGAAACGACAAATACAGTGATAGAAATTCATGGCCATAATTTTGGGATTTTGCCCTTGCAAACCTCTCCCATATGGAATTAAACAAGGGCTGAATTCTTATTGCAGTCCAACCACTAGTATATTCCTTCCACTTATATGAATTTGCCTTGCAGCAAGAGTCTCTTATTTCTATAAAAAATTTGAAATATTCTTGCAAATTACACAGGCTCGATAAATATAGATTGAAAGATTAGGGAGTCAGAATCAATACTGGAGAATGAGAAGGAAATAGTAGAATTCTTGCAAGTTATTGTGCTGCTTGTGGCATGAGAACGTAAAGTGTTCTATCACCCTCAATAAAAATACTGTGGAAATTTACTCTCTGAAATAAATACATGATTCCAAAGATATATTAACTAAGAGTATAGCTGTTTACAATCTAGCCTGTGTGTGACATTTTTAAGCTAACAATATTAGCCTGGCACTTCCCTGTATGTATTGTTTTACATTTATTGTAAGCCTGTTAAAATACCTTCTAAAAACATCACATTTATATGCCCTACTCTACTTAGCTTTTATTGTTTATATGCTTCCTTTGCAAACAGCTAGACAGACAAGGTTGATTAAAAAGAAGAAAGCCTGTCCTTATCAAACACTTAAGGGTAACTGAGTAATGTGATTTTCTTTTTCTACTAGTGGAAGTCCACTGTTTCGCTAAGAACTGCAAGCATTTAAAGTGAATGGAAAGTTTTAAGCCAGCCAAGCTGTCCTTCTGAGAGTGAAATGCGTGCTAATCTAATTGCCCACCCATACCTATGCGCTTTGAAAGCAAGACTTCTACGCTGGCTCCCCCTGCTGGGTTAAAAATATGCTGTCTTGGAAATTGATGAAACCAATATACCAAACCTTTTCATTTGAAGGCTTGTTGTTCAAATGGCAAATGCAGCCTGCATCAAGAATGCATTTACTCCATGACAAACATGCCAAGTGTTTCTTGAGTTTGCTTTCTAAGGACAGAAATACTGAAAGCAGAAAACTGTCCAATTGAGACCCAAAGCAGAGAACAAGAGCTTGCTCCCTGGATGTTTGTGCTAGTGAATGGGATAAGCATGCATGTGGGCAGAGGGGAAAAATTAGGACTGTAGGTTAGATGAGCCATCAAATTCAATTTTATTATTAGAACATGAGATTTCAGGGTCTGATTGTGAATTTAACTTTGTATGCATTTAAACCCGTTGGAACCAATTCATGGCATTCTTGCGATTTAATTTTCTCTTCTCCTGCTTATTTTCCTTTGCTCACAAGTAAGTTCTCTGTCCCCACTCTGTGAGTAACCAGCCTAATTTTAAAGGTGGCCGGTCACCTGTAGACTGCTGTGAAATCTGTGTTATGAAATCTGTCAGGACGAACTGGCAGATTTTCCCTGCTTGATTTAGCCCATTTGGTGGGAGGAAAGAAGGTTATGTTGGCTGTTTTTGGCCTGTGATCCCATAGTAGTTTGGCCTTGATAAAGGATCAAGAACAGCCATGATGATTATCTCCTGCCTAGAGCAAAAGCCAATGTTGTCACCAACATGGAAAACATCAACAGAGAAAATATCAGATAACTATGTGCTACTTACACATATTCTAGTTACAATACAGAATTTAATAGCATACAGCCTCGCCCCAGGTTCTCATATGAAAATTATACCACATCTCTCATGTCAGATTGTTCCAATGGGGACAGTGCACAATTTTATGAATTCTTTGACCGTATTCCTATATTCAATATATTATTCAGGTCTTCAATAGATTGTTTCTCAGGTCTTCTTTGTATAATGCTTCTCCATTGTTTCTGAGGTTTTGGTTTTGGTTCTGTTACTAGAAGCTCTGACCAGGGAGGATTCTCCATTCTCTTACCTTCTGCCTTCAGATTCAGTAGGTGGCAAGTCAAAACAAGATGAGGGTCTCCCATCTGGACCTGCTTGTGGATAAGGAATTAAAAAGATTGTTCTTCTGTTCCTGTGGCGTTGGGTGAGGTTGTCCCTCTACTGGCATATCATACTGGCAGCTGGCTTAGAAGATGCTCCCATTATATGTCTGGCATATCAGGACTTAGTCCCATGCCCTTCTTTCTGTCTCTCCAGAGGAAGCTAGCTGTGACTTCTTTATAGCTACGGCTGGCTCTCCTAAAAGAGGAAGGAGGAGCTGTTGTTCATTCCTCCAGGGACCCCTGGGAAATTCTATAGCAGCATCTTTACTACATTCCACTGGTCTAAACAAGTTACAGCAATTGTAACTTCAAGCAGAAGGGAGCTCAATTCTACTTTATTATCACATAGACTGATCATTTCTGCTTTTAATACAACATATATATGTATGCCAGTCTTGGGGCTGGAACTCGGGGCCTAGGTGCTGTCCCTGAGCTTTTTTTTGCTCAAGACTAGTGCTCTACCACTTGCGTCATAGCTCTACTTCTGCTTGTTGCTGGTTAACTGGATATGTGTCTCATGAGTGGGAGAAGGGCTGGGTACAGGAGGGCTGGGAAAGGATGTTGAAAGGGGTGACACTGGTCAGGATATATTGTATTCACAAATTGATTTGTTAAAGGGAAACTCCTTTGCACAACTACTTAAAGATGAGGAAATGATTGGGATGGCTTTGAATGTCAATCCTCTGATCTCAGCTTCCTGAGAATAAGTTTTCTATATTTAAACATTGTTGTATACTATTTTCTATCTTTAACTGCTTGTTTTACACTTTTCCCATGTTCTTATACGAATTTATGATTTTTATTTCCTTTATTGCCAGTATTGAGCTACACAACCAGGCTTTTACTTACCTTTAAAAAGTTTGATGGGTTTTTTTCTGCACATAAATCCACTGACATATTATGTATCTTAAGAAAAAGTATAGATAGTGCTAGTATGCAAACTCTACTATAACTACCCATCTATTTTTCATAGAGTTGTCTAGTAGAGCAACCTAACAAGTTCAAGACAAAATATTTCATAGTATAGTTAGGTTAGATTGTCATGTACTAGTTAAGTGAAAATAGATTTTTTTGCAATATATGTCAGACAGGAAAATAAAGAGCATAGAAACTCTGTCAACCAAGCTTTCTTTGACTCAAGTCAAAGGAAAATAGCAGATTGGAAATTAAATCTGTATTGCATGTTGGGAAATGCTGAGCACAGAGAGAGAAAGAGAAATGGAGAGGAGGGGAGGGAATGTTAGCAGGACTGCTGAGTGAATTTTGTTTACTGCAGTTCAACATTTCCTCTAGCAAATCATGTGCGAAGGGATGATTATAAATGCACCTATTTATGTAGGTAATTTTTCTGTTTCATGCCTCTGATTCATCTCTCTGCCTTCCTTTATGGGGAGTCATGCTACATTGGTTGCAATTAATTTCAGTGCTGCATATTAACCATAAAGAGATATTTCATAAATTGACTTGATGTATTTTCCCCCTCTGGTTTTCTTGAAAGATGAGAATGGTCCAGAGGAAAAGCAAAGTGCGGAAGAAATAGAAGGGCAGAGCCAAGAAGCAGGTGGGCTCAGATTTCTTTTGAGGAGTCTCCTAAGCCTCATCCACAGAGGTGAACAATAACTTTACTCAATGCTATTGTCTGAAAATGCATATGCCTTTTCACCTGATTAACTCCAGTGTTCATTCGGGTTTCCAATTTTGTTGACTGTGCTCCCAACTAGAATGGTACATTCTCCCTTTTGTGTCCCACTCACTGATTCCATTTTTTTTTTCTTCCCGGTTAATAACAGTTTGTTTGATAATGCTGTATGCAGGGTAGGTAGGAATTAGAAGTTGCCAAATTGGAATTTGGGTGAAATGTGTTTTTTTCTTTTTTCTTTCCTTTTTTTTTTTGTCAGTTGTGGGGCCTGAACTCTGAGCCTGGGCACTCTCCCTCAGGTCTTCAGGTCAAGGCTAGCACTCTACCACTTGAGCCACAGCGCCACTTCTGGCTTTTTCTGCTTATGTGGTGCTGAGGAATAGAACCCAGGGCCTCATGCATGTGAAGCAAGCATTCTACCACTGAGCCACCTTTCCAGCCCCGGAATAAAATTTTAAGAAAATGAAAAAGAGGCTTTCCTTGCATAATGACTAGAATATAATATATATATATATTATATTATATACACACGCACATATATATATATATATGTATTACACTCCTACATTAAAATGTAAAGAGCCATGCTTTGAGTTCTTTCTCTACATGTTTATAGGAGATGGTGCTACAAAGCCTGAATGCTTCCTTCTTCCCAAGTGAGGGAGACCTAAAACCTTGACATCACTTCTGTTCACTAAAGGACAGATATGGCAATTCAATGTTTATAGAGCCTACATTGGCAGATCATAAATTAAACAATTTTTCAATAAAATAGCATAGCACTTAAGGCTCAAAAGGTCCTGAACTCACCGATTTACTACCTCTCCCCACCCCAATTCTGTACTCAGGCATCCTCTATCAAAGAATAACAGTTATTCCTTTACCAGCATAACAGCCAAAATAAAAATATCCTTTTTCCTTTCAATATCCAAGTGATTCTCTCTCATTTTAATGAGCCCACATAGGGGCATTTTTATAATAGTGATCGCTATCTTAATGTGAGCCAGGCACACCTTAGACCATATGCTGAACTTTTGGAATTAAATCCAGGTAGGATGATAAGTTTTTCACTGAGAAATTCCTACGTTGACCTTGGAACTTTCGCAAGGAAACTAGTAGAAGCTTTGACTATTAATTTGGATGATGGGATTGAGGAAGACCAATAAGAGAAAGCACTGAAGCCAGGCATCATGGACCTTCTGTGCCTGTTCCTGGGACTGCTGACTTCCTCTGCTGAAACACAGTCTTCCCAATGAAATGAATTTCTGACATAGCAAACTCTTCTTACCTAACCCTCCCCACCCCAGCCCACACATCATTATGCTCTATAGAAGATGAGTCTTATGTGAAAAGCTGTCACTATTTTTACAGTTTGGGGCTGACAAGGATTAGTCAACAAACTGCTGACAGCTTAGGCCATTCTCTGACTACTGAAATCTCATGGGTTTTATCCACTCACTGCTGTGTTGAGCAACTTGATTTTCTCCTAGCCTTGTTTGTTTTTATGTTTGTGCTCTCTCTCTCTTTCCCTCCCTTTCTCTCTCTCTCTTTCTCTCTCTCTCTTTCTCTCCCTCCCTTTCTCCCTCTTTCTTTTCTCCCTCTCTCACTTTTCCCTCTTCACATCTACCCTCTCTCATTCTTCCCTCTCCTTCCTCAGCCCCCATCCCTTCTTCTCTCAGTCACACAAACACGTGTGCCACATGTACAAACACACACTCCACAAAAACACATTTTCCTTTGTTCTATTCATTCATCCATCCCCTAATCATTTGCCCACCAGTAGTTTCCTTTAGATTTGTGACTGGCTGGCTTACAAAAAATTAGAGTAGTAGCCAGGCACTGGTGGCTCATGCCTGTAATCCTAGCTACTCAGGAGGATGAGATCTGAGGATCTCAGTTCAAAGCCAGCCTGGGAAAGAAAGTCCATGAGGCTCTTGACTTCTAATTAAGCATTTGAAAAACTATTGAAAGTGGAGCTGTGGCTCAAGTGGTAAAGTGCTGACCTTGAGCAAAGAAAGCACAGGACAGTGCCCAGACCCTGAGTTCAAGCACTAGGACCAGCAAAAAAGAGAGATAGAAAGAGAGAAGAGGAGGAGGTATGAAGACAGTAGAGAGAGAGAGGAAGAGAGAAGAGAGAAGTGAGAGAATGAATGAACTATAATTCTTCTTCTTCTTCACATCTTGTATCTTGTCCCGTTACTATTCCACTAAGGACATCTCTTAATGTGAAGAAGAGTCCTTACTGCATTCTTGAGTAGCTCTTCTTGCTTTTCCACCTGAACCAATTGGTTAGCATTAAGTACAGCAGTGGGATTCATTTATGATCTTGGCCAATTTCACTACATATCACTATGTTCACTCTGTTTATTCTATTTCCAACCAATTCAGACTGTTGAGAAATTGATGATATGGTTCTGGTTGTTAAAGTCCTTCTGACTTGCTGTTATCTTTCTAACATTAAAATATCTTCTTTTCACTCAACATAATTTTCAGTGCCAGTTTTAATTACAACTGTTCAGACTTCTTCCATAGGATAGAAAAAATGCTATCACAAAATAGTGTAAGTCACAAGTTTTGGTGATTGTTACTGTCACACCAGGTCACAAATATGTAAACCGTTTATCAAGAAGTAAATAACAGACATGTATTGAGGGTTTACTGTGTCCTAATACAGTTTGTACACTGGAAATATAGCAGTAAGTAATGACAGAATGTTTCCTCAAAAGTCATACTTTAATGAGAGGACCCAAACAATACACAAATATCAGATACTGATAAATACTTTGTAGAGAAATGAGATACTATAGGAGAAACACCTAGACAGCAATTTCTATTGGCTAGATTTGGTGAGGACTTATGGAAGACGTGATAGTTAAAATAGGATCTGAAACATAAGATGGTGAAAGAGAATTCTAGGTAGCGGAAGCAGATTATGAAAAGCCCTAAGGCTAGTTTGGAATTAATGTTGGAGTCAAACAGCTTGACTATCAGAGTGGACTCAGGATAGAATGGTATAAGATTTGGTAAGAGATAACAGGACCAGATTATGCCTAATGGTATTTGATTTGACTTTATTAGAACCGTAAAGAAAAGTTGAGGGAAGCTGTTAAGCATCACATCAAACAATCTGTGTTCAAAATAAAACTCACTTTGCCTATGAGTGAAATGTGTATGAAGAGGTGAAGGAGAACCAGTTAGAAACCTACTATAGGAAGTGAATAACTGAGGTCTCTAGAGATGGGGCACAAAAGACAGAAGTATGTCACATGAAGGAGGCATGTGCTGATGGACTGGATAGAACACTATAGATGTTTAACTCTAGTGACTGTGCAAATGACAGTTCTGTTTACTGACAGGGCATGGTTTTATTGCAAAAGTTAATAGTTCATCTCAAAATACATTTGAGAGGATGTTTAGATAGCCATATGGGGTTTCAGGAAGTCAGTTCAAATCCAGGGTTTAGTAGCCTATGCCTATAAGTGCTACTGCACTGGAGCTGGAGATTGGAGGGATAGAGATTTGAAGCCAGCCGAGGCAAGAAGTTCATGAGACCCTCATGTCCACCAAAGAAAATGGAAACAGGAAGAACTAGGGGCCTGGTTTCAGTTGTAGAATTCCTGCCAAATACAAGACCTTGAGTTCAAGTCCTAGTATTATATTTTTAAAAAGTGTAAGAAAAAGGAGGAGGAGGAGGAGGAGGAGGGGGAGGGGGAGGAGAGGCGGCGGCGGCCACAGTAGCAGTGGAGGCGGCAGCAGAGGCAACCAGTTAGTTGTAGATATATATGTACAGAGCTCCAGAGGTAAGGACTGCAGATAGAGCCTTAGGAGTCATTGTTATATATTTACAATCATGGCATAGGATGAAATTCACTAAGTAGAATATGTAAATAATGACAACAATGGGAATGTGTCATCAGGATATCTAGGGTACCACAACAAGAAAGCTTAAAACTGAGAAGCCAGAAAGATTTTTTTTAATTAAAAAAAATAAAAATAAAAAGGAAGTGATCATTGGCTTCCCAAAGGGAGTTCATTGGCGTATTTAATAAGGGCATTCTAGAAGAACTAGAGGAGAAGCCAATTCGTCTGGATCAAAAGAAGCTTTTGAAGTGAGGAAGTGGAGAATAACTGTAACTTCTTTTTGGCAACTTTTCTGTAAAAGGAGGATAGATGTTGTGACATCAGGAGAAGGTTAATAGTTCACCATTTTCATTTTAATTGAAGATTATCACAGAGCAAAAGAATATGAGTCATTATCTCCAATTATCCCCCTCCTGAAATTTTTTTTCTCTGTTCCAATAGAAATGTAAATCTAAAAGAAATAGTCATATATAGGTTTCTCAGATGCCAGGTATGCATTCCAATGATTTTTAATAATCCTTCATATCTTAAATTTACTGTCTGAATGCTAGTAGTTAATTATCTACCATCCTAGAGGCCAAACTTGAGTACCCACTCAGATGAGGCTAATTGGTATTGAGGGTTCTCCAAGTCCTTGGTCTCCACTCCAGAGTGCTAGATGATAGTTTCATGAGTGAAAGCCTAGCTACTCAGGAGGCTGAGATTTGGGAATTGTGGCTCAAAGCCAGCAGAGGCAGGAAAATCTACAAGACTCTTATTTCCAATTAATTACAAATCCCCCACCAAAAAAGGCATACATGTTGGTGTGCCTTCTGTGGTAGAGTGTCATCCTTGAGCAAAATTCATAGGCCCTGAAACATGCCTCCTTTACTAGCACACACAAGAAAGAAAATCTCCATATTACCCTTGGTGACAGCCACTGGGTCACTCTGTGCAGCTGCACTACCATCCAGGCATAATGGTAGGCCATTATGGTAAGCCCACACCGAAAGGGACTGTGTAGACATGTCTAGGAATACATTGATATAGCATCCTTCACATTCCATTACTAAGAAAAATAATGTCTCATTCTTTGAGAAGCAAAACTCACTATGGTTATTAGTATATTATTACCAACAAATAGTATTCTTCACAGAAATACTTCCTTTTCTATTTCATTAATAGTTCATTAATCTATGTCAAAACTGAAGAGTTCTGTTTCATTATATTTTAGAAAATGATTACAACTCTTTTACTTCTTCAACCATGATTCAGTGCAGTACAGCATGAAGGGAGCTCACAAGTGCTTTGGTGGAGTGTAAAGGGAGGGACCGGGGGACAAGAGAGCCACAGCTGGATGATATTAACTGAGGCTATGTTTCTTTTCTTTAATTTTCCAGATGGTGTCAGCACCCCCCCTGTGCCCAGCCCTGCTTCTGAAGATGCAGTTGAAGATTGTAAAGATGAAGGTAGGAGGCCACTTATTACATATAAAAATCAGAACTCTTCAAAGTAGACTATCTGGGTTTTGTTTATTTGGAAAACTGAAACAGTGAGCCTGTCTCACTCTCCTTAAACTTCTCTGTTTCCAAAACACAGATCCCACCCACTCTGTTGCATTCCATATTTAGCTTCCCCCAGAATTTACATAGCCATCAACATTTGTTCCTCTAAAATTAACTGGTTATGAAATAAGAAGATGATCAGAGAAATTATAGTTAGGGATGTTTATTTGAAACAATTGTATTAGTTCTACTGTTTATAGCTACATACAAGAAAGGGTGACTTTGAGGACCACCTACTAGAGATATTTCAGGAAAGAAATGTTTGAAAGGCATTTTTAGAAGTCCATGTTTGGCAAGAGCATCAGTCTCTATTCTGAAGACAATTACTAAGAGAAAAAAATTGCCAGTTTAAGTATCCCAAGAAGGAAAAAAATAAAGAAAAATTTCATTTCTAGGAGAAATTTTAAGGAATAAGAAGGAAAAGATAGATGTAAGGATACTTATGTTTAAAACGTTGTCTAAAGGGGAAAGCTCCTTTCCCTCTTATTGAAGTGACAAGTTCCCATATAATGGTAGCTAGTAAAAATATTCTGTGATTGGCAGACTAGTACAAATGGACAGCGATCTGGTAAGCCATGCAATCTGCTTGGAACTTGAAGATACATATGATGAATGCATTTATTTAATTTGATATGGTATGCAACAGGTACATTTCTGTTATTGATATTACTCCTTAAGTCAGTATTTAGAAAATCAAGTAGTCTTGAAATTTTAGTAGTGAAATACTTGCCTCATTATTTTCACTTCTTGTTTTGTGATCATTTGTTTTATTGTTTTGTTTTTCTAAATCAATGGTCTTGGCCAGTGAGGGGAGTGTCAGAATGAGAAGAAAGGGGCAGCGCAGTTGGACTATAAATCCTGGCTTTGCCACTGGCAATTTAGGTAACTTTGGAAAAATAATGCAAGCCATTAACAAGGAGTTAGCAAAAAGTGACAAATAGTTCGCATTTCAAATTCCTCCTCTGGGAGCCAGGTCCCAGTGGCTCATGCCTGTAATCCTAACTACTCAGGAGGCTGAGATCTGAGGATTGCGGTTCAAAGCCAGCTGGGGAAGGAAAGCGCCTGAGACTTTTATCTCTAATACACCACTAGAAAATCGGAAGTGGTACTGTGGCTCAAGTGGTAGAGCACTCGCCTTGAGCTGAAGAGCTCAGGGACAGTGCCCAGGCCCAGAGTTCAAGCCCCATAACCGACATGGGGGAAAAATGGGGACAATCGTAGTGTCACCCTCACAGGCTATAATAATACAAGCCAGTGACTTAGCTTCTCACCTGCTGCTTGTATGGAATGGAATTCCAAAAGGACAGACTGAGATGGAGGTGAGAAAACAGACAAAGCTTTTTCAATCAACCACTGAAATCATAAAAGTAAAGGAACAGAACTGGCTAGAGGGGGGAGTTAGCATTCGATATATTCTCAGAAGAGATCCCAGCTGATTATAAGGAAATCTGAAGTTGGAGAGGGCTTCTGAGATGGGACAAGAGAATCAGGACATACCCCATGGAGAGTGCATCTCGTACTAGGTACCCGAGAAAGGGGTGGCCTCATCCAGAGGTACCTTTTCATTCCCCAAAGAGATCTGGGTGATCCAACATAGCCTCCGCCTGTTGTCACTTTTGGTGGTAGGCTTCAAAACCACACATTTAAAAATGTAATTTGTGTTAAATAACCACAGGCTTTGCTTACAACTCAAGGTTATTTTAGGTCAAAATAAAACCACTCGTGTCAAGATAAAAATGTGGAAAGTGGCATGCATTTTAAACCAAAAAGTTTGAACATTCCAAATATTTAGCTTATGATAAAAAAAAATCTTTAAGTATTATAAAGTCAAAAGGCAGAGTTTAACAAATAAGACAGAGTCTAACTTGAAAACTTGAAGCTGTGATTTTTCCCATTGAGTTGTTTAGTGTAGATATCACACCTTTGTAAAAACACAGTGTTTGTGATATTTCTCAATGTTTTTAGGATGTGACACCATTAATTGCTCATGCTAGGAACAGTTCATTTCTTGAAATACTTTCAGGAATTTTTCTTAAAATAAAAATTTTAATGGTGGTAACTCTCATCAAAATGTCATATGTCACAAAATGTCATGCCTTCACAAGATTAAATGTGAAGTTATAGGGGTCTTTCCTTAAATATTGATATTGATTAACGTATTTACTTGGGAAAAATCAAGTGTTTGAGATCCACATCCACCTACAATACGTTTCACTTTAAAATATAGCATATGATATGATTTATGCCTTTTCCCATTAGAAATAGCATGCATATAACATCACTCTTTCTAATTGATTATCAATTCAAATCTTAGATCAAGTATCTAATGCTTATGAAACTGTCATTTTGACTGATAGATGCATAGCTTAGAATTTTTAGAAAGAATATTCCATTGAAATTCTACAAGATTGAGGTCAAGTTGGGGTTAAAGCAAAGTCATAAGTGTGGAGGATTCATTTCAAACATTCTCCATTATTAGCTTTCATGCAGAAATATCTCTCCTCAGTGACACCAAGGCTATTTTAAAGCTAGGAGTTAAAAGCTAGCTTATGGAAATGCTTATTACACTCTCTGGTTTAAGTGGCAGAACCTCTTTTGCTGATCACAGCTCCTGAAAGAGTCTGTGTTCTCTTGACTTTGTTTTGAGACTTTGCTTCTAACTCTGAGCATCTTCTTAAGCTTTGGAATCACTCTATTCTAGGCTGGATTTGTTTTTCTTTCCAACGTAACTTCCATGGAATTTGAGATTATTTTGGGTGTTTCTAGTGATGCTCATCAGTTGGCTGGCTTTACATCTGTTAAAACTTGGATTGCTACTGGAAATTAGTGTCTTCTGGGATTGAAAAGGAGCCAGCAAAATAAGAGATGTCTCTTTGGGGTGGAGAGACAATGAAACAGTTATGAGAAGGTTGGAAAGTTTTGAGAGGAAGTGTTATAATCCAGATGTTTACATTCAAATATTCTAGACATATTTGACACTTAGAACCGAGAACAGATATTTGCTGCCCAATTACCCATACATAGCTAGTAACTATGCAAACTGCTAGCAGGAGTCATAACTGATAATTGTATGAACCTGGAGCTAGATTGTCTGTCGTCCAGATACTGAAGACACCAGTTCCTAATGAGTCATTCTAGCTGTCAGGTGTGCAGGAGTTGAGTTGAGAGAGATATGAGGAGGGCAAATGCTTCGGAACAATTTATCCTCGTGGGGGTGGGTGAATGCCAAGGATGTGATAAATAGACTTGAACTGAAATGAACTCAAAGGTGGAAGAGGTCTGGGGAAAACCCAATATGTACGTTGATAGGCCTTCTGATGTTGTTAAAGGCATTCTTTGTCTTCTGGTAAAAATACTCTTTATTTAATGGGTTTTTTATACTTTATATCCTCAAAGATAAACCCTAGACTATCAGTGTGAAAGCTATTTTAACAAATACATAAGCAATCATATGTGAGGCCATCTAAACACAGGAGTAAAATGCATAAGGCTGTCTGATAACCTCATTGAAACTTCTGCAAAGTTATTGCTTTTGAAGTTGTAATTTATCACCTTAAGTAAGGATAATGCTGTATTCTAGTTGTCTAAACACCTTTAATAGCTCATCTTCATCTACTTCCAAGGCCAAGGCCCTGTACTGGAGGGGGGCAGAAGGGGAGTGGGGGAATGTGCTGTTTCAACATATCCAGATTCACCAGTCTTATTATTTAATCAGTACCTAATTTGAATTTGAAGGTCAACTAGACCAAATCATAGGCTCATTAATATTGAAAGCAAAATCAATTAATACTCAGGTGCACACCAGAGCTCATACTCTTTGGAACTCTATGTAAGTCACATCATTGCTATTTGGCATTTATGAAGTAGGGTGTCAACTGGCAAAGGATTTAGTTGCAGACTTGCATTTAGTTTCAGACTTCCTGGAGATCAAAATTACTGTAAAAAAGGGGGAAAGCTAGAGTAAGTGTTAGCCTTGATAAAAGGAGCGAAGGAGAAAGGAGGAACTACAGCAAGTCCAGTGGTGCCATTCCTTAGTTTCCCCCTTAGTTGTGTGACCCAATCACAACAGAGAGAGAGATTGACCTTGATCTGTACTGACAGACTGAATACAATTTATGACCTCTTGGAATACCTCAGCCTTCAGTGTAGAATGAAAGTGAGACCCTCCAGTAGTTCAGTGAAGGAGAAGAAATTACGACATTAAGAAAATAGTATCCCCTGAATCCACTGCTTTACATTTGTGGACAATGTAGTCCTCATTTCTCAAAAAGGGAACCTGAGACTCAAGGTGAGAGAAAACAGAGAGGGAAAAAGAGAACAACTTATGAATGGAAATTCTCATGAACTTGAGGCAATATTTTTTGAAAGAGTAACACTTATTTTCACAAAAGTAATACATACTGATTGTAAAAATATCTTTAAACATAGAAAAATATAAAAGGCAGAATTATATAATGATTTTACCTTTAGGGACTGAATTGCAAAAATAAATAGATAAATAAATAACAATAAGTCTACCCTGTTATTTCATTCTACTATAGGCCATGAATATTCTCCCCTGTCTTTAAGTATGCCTTAGAAACATAGTTTTCATTGGAGGCATAATATTTCATTATCTGGTTGTCCCACAATTTACATAACAGTGTCCTGATGTTACATTATTTAGTTATTTACAGTTTTCTCTCTATTATAAATAGGGGAATGTAAGGCAGGCATTTTAGATAGATCTTCATGTCTAATCAGTTCCTCAGGATAAATTCCTGATTCTTTCGTTGAATTATGAGGTAAGAGATGAAAATATTTTTTAATTGCATAAATTTTCTCATTGTAAAAGTAATGCATATTTACAACAAGAATATGCAGAAGAATAAATGAAAATTATCAGCTATGCCTCCAATCCACAG